CCTCGGCCACGCGCTGATGTCGAGCCTCGCGTGCGCGGTGTTTCTTCCCACCCCTGTGTTGGCGGAGCTGGTGCCTGCTAGTCAATGTGACTTGGCACACCTGGCACGTGAGCAGGGCTGCAGGAGCAGGCTTTTTACCCATTCGTGAGGTGGCCACGCGATGTAGTGTCCTATTCACGCCTTCCGGTAGAACCGGCAAATTACTTTTCGGTACTGTAGTCCGGGCTTTAATTTGGCGAAGAACCCGTGACGCGCTGTCCACGTGTCCAGAACTATTTGCGTGTAGATTCTGTACACGTGTTGTCTTCTCGTAAATCTTGTCTTCCGGGCGGGGTTGGTCCGCCGGGGTAGCCTCTTCTTCGACGAGGTCCAAAACGGTGATGAAGTCTTCCCTGTCGCTGTCCCAGTTTACCACGGGCGTGCAGGGTCGAGGCCGTGCGCCTGGCTGAGAGATTTCTTCTGACTGCTCTTCGGGGGCTTGCGGTTCCCCAAGGTCCTTGTCTGAATTTGGTTTGAATACCACTAAAATAGAAATTAGTTAGGCAACTAGGTTCCTATTTTAGAGGCAGCGGGAAAATAAAGAACTTACTCTTTTTATTATTTCCGATGAGAGTTATCCTAAAGAGGAAGGCGGCTTTACCTCTTTTTTGAGAAAACGTACTGCGTTAATATCAAAAAAGAGATAAGAAGACCACTCTCGAAAAGACCAAAAAATCTTGAACTTGAAAGGCTGAGGTTGTTGTTTTTCTTCTCGAAGAAAGTAGTTGAGCGTAAAGTCTAGACTGTCGCAAAAGTAGAAAAAACAGTAAGTGTTAACGGGCAGGACCGGGCGAGAATGTTCGCGTCAATTTACTGTGCTGGTTTCGTCCTTTTTTGCTTGCCCGAAGCAGCTATTCTGCCTGGGCTTCTGAATATTTGTACTACTACTCCCGCGCGTCTCATCCTCCCGTTTTAATCTCTTATCTGCGATTCCTTTGCTGATAATTACGAGTTATTGCATTAGCAGTGGAGTTGTTGAGAGATGCACTGTAGGTTGACAGATGAGGTCAATTAAGTTCTGTCCATATTTAATGCACCTTTTTCAACGATTCGGATGCACTTGCCGGACAGTAACCGTCACCGTCAGCTGATAATTTTCACAGATAGCGCCGCCGTAAGCCGCGTGGGTAATGTGGCGTCAATGCGGCGGAGCCGGGCCTTGCTTAGAACACGGAGAGGGGATGCGGTCGCGGAGGGAGGGAACGGCGACCGAGAAAAAGGGTGGATATTCCTTGGAGTCAACGGGCATTCGGTTTGCAAGAGACACAGAAGTATGTCCTCCTCGTACAGCATCAATACGGGATAAGGTCACATCCACATAAGACGCAGTTCTCTTGTTCTCTCTCCCGCTCGTGTCTTCCGTGGATGCCGCGGCATATGCCTTCCCCTATTTTTTATGGCGGGCACGGGAATACCTGAGTGTGCTTGATCTGTGAGAACATAGATGCATAATGCGTTTCTTGTTTGCAGAGATGGAGGTATCGCCGCTGATTTGAGGTGCCCTTCGTGGTGGCTCAATTCTGAAACATTACGTTTGCATCTTCACAGCTTCGAACCTCCACGCCTCCCTCCTAGGCCACTCCTAATGTCTTATTTTTTTCTCGACTGGTGCTTGCTCAACAAGAAGGAAAAAGATACTCTCGCTACTGCAGTTGAATTCTGCGTTGCGGAAGGGTGGAGCTTGGTGAGATCTACACGTCTTTTCCTGCCATTTTCAGATTGCCAAGAAAAGAAGCCTTTTCGACCAACCCCAAAACGTTATGTGTTGATATCTTCGAAACCAAAATGCCGGATTCAAATGTCAACCGAGAAATGAAACTTCATTGGAAACTTAGTCGTTCTGTGTATTCACAACTGCTATCCCAATGGTTTGAAAGATGTTATTGCTGAGGGCATAAACGTTAAAGAAATGGCGTCCAAACTGACTTTATAAAGTTTCGATTTAATGAGGTTGTCCGTAAAGTCACGAACACACGTGTTTTGGCCGCGAATTTGCTCGGATTTTCTGAAGGCAAAATTTTCAAACAGTTTTCCACGAGTTTCACATCCGCCTGATCATGTGACTGCTGTGAACAGCAGTGCCGGGTTGACCCGTCTTGAAGGGAAACGAAGTGGGTTTTCCGCTCTTTTCTCAACACTAACGAATCTCATACTGCACGGGTCGAACCGGTTTGCGTCATGGACGCCCGCCCCTATCAATTCATCTACTGAGAGTCCATCAACGGATCAAAGCGTGACAGGATCTGCCGCAGATGCCGCCGAAGCAACCGCGAAAGATAGACAAGTAGAAGCTTCTAAAAAGCGGTCCTCTCCAAACGGCCCCCCTCAGTCTGTCAAGAAGACGAAACACATCGCCCTTTCCACTGAGAACCTTCTATCCTTGTGGGGAGCTACAATATTCGGTTCAGCGAGTATTCGCGCAGGTGCACGTGATCCGTCGGACGGCACAACGATGTACAGTGCCTTGCGTTTGGTTGCGGGCAGGTACCTTGCTGGACGTCAGTCCGCAATCTCGTGGTGGAAATTTTCAATCTCGGGTTTACTTCACGTCCCGCGACTTTGTTGGCAACATGGAAAAAACAACGCATTATTTTGCAGACAACCTTATTATGCCGCTAGACTAGAAACGATGATTCAAGTTCACCGAGGCTTCGGATCGCAACTCTTCAGTACTAAGAGGCGGCGGCAGTTGAGGGTCGCAGTCACTGCCGACACAGCTGCTGCCTGTGTTGCGTGTGTGCGTGTCACAGGTATGCACTCTGTACATGGGAATGATGATGTTTATCAAGTCAATTTCGACACCATTTCTCGATCGTAGAGTACCTACGTACCTACCCTCTCTGGCAACAACGTCTTGCGGAAGATCGGGATGGCAATTTAGCCAACTTTCAATAGCTGGACGATTTCTTAAACGCCAGTTTTGGTTTCGAAGATATCATCACAATACGTTTCAAAGTTGCTCACAAAAGCTTTTTTTCTAGGCCCTTGTAAACACCACCAGTTCTGGACACACACATCTGACTACAATCCATTCTTCTGCCACGCATTCCTCAAAAAACAGTGCGGAGGATATCTTTGTCTTTCTTATCAGAAACGACAGAAACCCTCAAAAATGAGTAGATGAAGAGTTGTCTGAAAGTTGCCTGATCAAGAAGCCAAGTACTGTATTGTTGGAGAAACTAAATTTCTACCAACTGCAGACTTTCGCGAAACTGAGTAGTTTGTCACCGACTTCCTCCCATTTTCCCACCCACCGTAACCTCAAACACTGAGGGCAACATCGACCAGCCGACATCAATACATAATACGTATCGTACTGTACCCAAGGGCACTCCACAAACCATTGAAATTCGCAGCGCTTTGCGGCCACCGTCGTAAGCCAACAGCATGACGCCACTTCGTACATACACCGGATTTTATCCTTCATAGTGTACGCCAGACTTCCTTTTTGTTTATCCTTTTCCCTCTTGTTTCCATTTAACGAAGCCTGCCCCCTCCACACCTAACTGTGATGACTGCACCACTGTTGGATTCAAAAGATTACAACAGTGAAGTCCTATCCTCATTCATTGAACCTTTCTATGACAATTAGTGCGTTCGCGAAATTGCGCCGAAGTTTATGCTGATATTTTGGAGATTATTGCACACTCGTGGGTTTTACTGTGCCGATAGATGATATTCAGTGACTTAGATCTCTCTCTGCTTCATCATTCACTTGTTGGGTCCCGCGTGTACACTGATTAGCTAACTGCTGGAGTCTAATGTACTAATCAAGCCTTTTGAGCCTCTTTCTCCTACGATTTCATCTACAATGTGTAGCGCATAGCTTAGCAGAAAGGGTATAAAAATAGATAATCGAGATTCTGAACAATGGAGAAACGGTAAACACCAACAGAATCGAAACCAGTAAGCCTTGACAAGCACGGGCCTGCCCAGCTCTGTTACTTACGCCATCACAAAGAATACATTGACTTACGCGCAATGTATAGCCATAGCATCGTCATGGGGAAGGGGGAAGAGGGTGTTGAACGCAATGCAGCTAAAGCTGTGGAGCGATATGAACGAGCAATTGACAAGGGTGAGCATGTTGGGGCGATGGTCAGTCTTGGTCTCTTAATGGAAAGAGGCGCAGAAGGAGTAGAGCGTAACGCGGCACGTGCGAAGGAGCTGTGGGAGAGAGCGATCGACAAAGCTGATCACGTCGAGGCGGTGTGCAATCTCGGGCGTCTGCTCAAAAATGGTGCAGAAGGAGTGGAGCGTAACGCGATTAGAGCGAGGGAGTTGTGGGAGAAGGCAATCGATAAGGCTGATCACGTCGATGCGATGAACAACCTCGGGTGTTTGCTGTACGAAGGCGCGGAAGGGGTGGAGCGAAACGCGGCACGAGCGAAGGAGCTGTGGGAGAGAGCGATCGACAAAGCTGATCACGTCGAGGCGGTGTACAATCTCGGGGGTTTGCTGTACAAGGGCGCCGAAGGGGTGGAGCGTAACGCGATTAGAGCGAGGGAGTTGTGGGAGAAGGCAATCGATAAGGCTGATCACGTCGATGCGATGAACAACCTCGGGTGTTTGCTGTACGAAGGCGCGGAAGGGGTGGAGCGAAACGCGGCACGAGCGAAGGAGCTGTGGGAGAGAGCGATCGACAAAGCTGATCACGTCGAGGCGGTGTACAGTCTCGGGGGTTTGCTGTACAAGGGCGCCGAAGGGGTGGAGCGTAACGCGATTAAAGCGAGGGAGTTGTGGGAGAAGGCAATCGATAAGGCTGATCACGTCGATGCGATGAACCTTCTCGGGTGTTTGCTGTACGAAGGCGCGGAAGGGGTGGAGCGAAACGCGGCACGAGCGAAGGAGCTGTGGGAGAGAGCGATCGACAAAGCTGATCACGCCGGGGCTAAGTTCAATCTCGGGACCGTGCTTTCTCACGATACGGGAGGATTAGTGTATGTCAGTGTTTTTCGAAAATGCTGACCACATCAGGGCCTCCTTTAAGACAGCATGGACGGGCATGTTTGGACATGTATGGACGTCAGCGTGCACCTGATTGGTCCATTTAATACTTTTCTTAACAGTATGATGGCGCACACAAAGTTAATATAATGGAATCTGTCGCTACCAACGTGCCATACGAGAGCACACCATTGGCTGTCGCCTGCCGCATAAGTGCGATTAAATTCAATCTTGATCCAATTTAGCATACATTAAAATTCAATTTAATCATTTTATTGACGTCCCTGAATGCCAGTACACGGGGATCGCGATATAGTGTCTCCCTCTGTCAGTGGGCCGAAAACGGCACTATATCGAACCAGGCACTATAAGATAATGAGATTTGCGGCTTTTTTGCAGCCACTTCCTTGCATCACTGCTCAGAAAGACCGTTCGCTTCCCTATCGATAGCCCGGTATGATGCACCCCTTGAGCCAATTTACGGATCACGGCGCGCTGACACAATACATTAAATTATTGGACATGTAATATTTTGAAAATCGCAAACATATACATCCAAACATGGCTGTCCATGCTGTCTTAAAGGAGGCCCTCAGTGCAACGGTCAATCTGAGTGTCCTGCTAAAAAGAAGGGGAGAGTGTTATAATAGTATGTGCAGAAACCTGAAACGCGATACGGTAAAGTTATGTGTAATGCCACGGGAACGCGGGGTGCAGCAAGGAAGCGGGGAGCGCGGAACGCGCGCGCACCCACGCGCGCGCACCTACCCCGCAACAAGAGCGCACTTGCATCATCAAGGACGAGATGTCACGAGTGGGCGCTCCGGCCGCTACATGCCCGCCAGGCACGCCCGCCTGCACGGACAGACGTGCATTCCACACCCGCGCTTACAGCGCCACGTCTCCATCGAATGCACTTTGTCTGCATTCGCTCTCCCCGTACAAGGAGTGTTGAGCGCAGGCTCTCGCCAGCAATTTGGCGTAAGCCAACTGTCCAATAGGCCTTCTACGTAGTTATGGGGTATAACCCGTAAGAATCAATCATCATCAATAAAATACATCCACAATTGGATACGTTTCCAACAGTACATATTTACAGTGCCATAATTCAGTACGCAGCTATTCTACAGCAAGGGGCAGCACGACCACAATTACGTGGTAGCTTCATGAGCTTATTGTGATTGAGCAGCCTCAGGCCACCCCATTCCCTGACCGAGGCTTTTGTCAAATGCCCAAGTCTTTCGACAATAACACAACCCCTTCGCCCGTATCGGAGCCGCCACACCCCCCCGGCCCCCCAATCCACTCCACAATCCCTGAACCCGCCCCTCCCACATGCTCCTCCATCTGTCATCTGCCCCTCGGACCTGCTCCTCCACCCCACACTCGCTCCCCCGATCCGCTCCTCCACCTCCCTCTCGCTCCCACGATCTGCTTCCCCATCTCCCCTGCAACGCCGACCCGCTCCTCTGTCCCCCTCCTGCCCCTATGATCTGTCCCGGCCTCTGCTCTCTTGACTCCGGCACACCGACATGCAGAATTATTCCTCAGCTGACGCCGCCAACGCTCTGAAAATTCTTGCTGACGCTGCAGTGGAGCGTCAGAACGAGCTTGAGAAATTTTCAGTTCAGCCTGACGTCTCCGATTGAGATGAAGAAAGCGACTCTGACAGCCCGGTCTTTGATCGGTTCTACGAGCGCTGCGGAGGGCGAGCAATTGTCAGCATGATCAATTTTGATCCAGAGGAGTTCACAATCATTTGGGCAAACTACAGAGATCTTATCACAACCCACTACAATTGTGGTCGAGGGCGCAAGTCACCGCATTCGGCAAAGGACGTCTTGTTTATGACGCTCACTACCCTAAATCACTGCGGGCAGTGGGATTTGTTGGCAAATCTCTTTTCCCTGAAGGGTCCCACCTTCGAAAGACTCATAATGCGCTTCGTGAACACGCTTTCTACGCACCTGCATAATACACTTGTCGCTCAAAATGGGGAGCTGTACTCCATGACTGAAATGTTGAAAGAAAAGTCTACTTTCAAGCACTTTTCGTTCGCTCGCTACGCTGCAGATGTCACTTTTCAGATGTGCAACCGGCCTAGTGGCAACATGCAGGAGGGAAAAAAGTTTTTCTCCGGAAAACATAAGCTCTACGGCTACAAGGTGGAGGTTTCAGTTCTCCCAAATGGTTTAGCTATCGGCTGTTCAGAGCATGTGCCCGGGTCAGTGTCAGAACTTGAAATGTTTAAAGAAAACAGGGCTTTTCATGACGTGAATATGAGGAAGGCGAGAAGTGACAGACATGTAACAGATCTTGGATTGTTGGCAGGTGAGTATCCAGGGTAATGGGCGATTTTGGCCGACAAGGGGTACCATGGCGGAGCAGAGATTGTTCGCTTAGTCAGCCCAAAAAAGAAACCGCAGAATGCCTGTCTGTCGGTCGATGACGAGCGGTTTAACAGGAAAATCTCGTCAAACAGGATACTTGTAGAGAACTGGTTCGGTAGGGCGTGTGGTCTATGGACGGTTGTCTCCAGCAAATGGAAGTGGTCTGAGAGCAGCTACGATACTATTTTTCAGCTATGTGCTGCGCTGACTAATTTGCACATTACTTGGCATCCACTTCGGCAGGAAGACTTGGAGCGATATCAGCGTGTGAAAAATCGCCAGCTGCACATCGGTGTAGAACAAGTAGAGCGCCGATGACAGTCCCAGGAGCGCTATCGTCGGAAGCGTGCCAGGCGCATGTCCCTGCAGTTGCACAGAGCTGGAATGCCAGATCGCGACCCCGATGCTGATATATGAGGCAATGACTACAGTGCCATTGAATAGTTCTGTAATGAATCACTTCCAACCCGAAAAATAAATGGCTACAAATTGTGCTAGTTAATTGCCAAATTCTCAGTCGCGCATTGTAAGCGTTAGTCCCATCTGATGCCAATCAAACAATATACACCTCACCCGTCATTGCGTAGTTTCCCAGTCTTTGCGAGAAAGACCTAATGAAATGGCTACATGATCGCCACCATCGCTGGATGGTTGGCTGATGATGATTTAGGGTTCGTACCATTGTAGAATTAATGATTAATCACTATTCTACCGACGACGGCGCAGCGGAGAGGCGTGCACCAGAGTTTGCTCTGGTTGACATAAATTGGGGTGACCGGGTCACTGTAGACCCGACGACCTGAGAAGGGAGACACATTATACCTGGCTTATCTTTTATGGTAGCATCGCGAGTGAGTTCACCATCTCCTCGCGTCCCCGCCCCCCTTTACCATCCTACGTGCGCATCACCTCTCCCTCTCGTTGCATCTCCCCGCGCACCGTCTACCACTGCTGAAGCGCCACGATCTGTCTTCAACACAACTGCCGGTGTTATCCTTTCTATTTCTTGCGCACCACCACCGCTACCACGAGCTGCGGATACAGCTGATCAAGTGTATGCCGACCACGGTATATCCCAGTTCGTGGTGTCGGTCTACTCCGGATTTGGTACACCGTGAAGGTACTCACCGGGCTCGCAGTGTTTCCTCGTGGGGATGCAAGCAAATTAAGGAAAATTTTTAAGTTTGTTTATTTGTGTTTGTGGTTGCCAAAGACATACTATTTTGGTTTTTGCTCGTGGTTATTATGGTTACAGTTCGATCAGTTTCGCGCTTCGGACTTGGAGTTGCATCAAAAACCTGCGTGGTAGGTCCGCATACCACGGGCCTGAGGTCCGACCTTCAAATTGCATGGAAGCACCTTCGTGGTTGGTCAGAATACCACGAGCCTGAGGTCCAACCTTCGAATTGCCTGGAAGCACCTTCGTGGTAGGTCAACACACCACGGGTCTGAGGTCCGACCTCTTACGTTTCTCCGGGACAAGCACTTTCTGTGCCTCTCGCGTATTACGCAAATCTACCGCATCACCGAAGGAAGCCTCGATACTATTTCGATCGAAACCGGTCAGCAACCATGGCCGGTGACGAAAATAATGACTCCCTGAGTAAAGTCCCAAAACTCAAAGTCCCTGCCGACTTCATTGAATGGCGTCGAAAGATGAAGGCCTACCTCCAGTGAAACGACCCTCTCCTCGTCAGCCTTCAACCTCGCCCCTCCGGTCGTGCAGCATCCTCTTCAAGCATGGCCGTTGAGGATTGGACTCTCAAGTCAGCTCGCGCCAAAGGTAACATAATTCTCTGCCTCAGCGACTCAATTGCATCCCAAACGCGCTTGTTTGTGGATGATGACGAAAAGACGGCAGGAGAGTTATGGAGGGAGCTTGAGCGAATTTTCACGATGTTAAACACTCAAGTCGTACAGAATCTCAAGCAGAAGCTTGACACTCTCATCTTCAAGGAGCATGAAAACTTTGACACTCATGTCGCCTCTTTCCTCACTGTCGTTGGTGAGCTGGCTACTTATGATTCCGAGCTCTCTGGATCTGAGAAGACGTCGAAGCTTATCCGATCCCTTCCTCCTTCCTTCGCCCCACTCGCTATGGTATCAACCCTTCAAGAATTTGACTTTGAAACTTTGGTCAATGCTGTAAGGGCTGAGCTTGCCCGCCGCACCAACCCTCATAATCCACAGAACCAATACCGTTCTCCCGCCGCTGAGCCAAGAGCCAATTTTGTGCAACACTCTCGTGGTGCGAATGGCCGGGGTCGTGGGAAGAATCGTCGCGGTACCCACAATGGGTTTCATTGAGGTACCTCTAATAGGCGCATAGAGAAGCGCACATGTGACTACTGCAACATTCAAGGTCACATTTACCGTAATTGCTGGAAGCGTCAAAAGGAGCAAGACGGAACAGGTAACCCGAGCTATAGTTCCGGTCGCCATCAAGGACGTCAAGGGCGAAACTTCAACTTAGGAAATCAAGTTCGAGACACACCTCCGCCTCGTAGTTCGCTTTGCAACAACGGCGATCACCCAAATCATGGCTGGGGTTCAGGGAATGGCGAACCTAATTCGCAACACTTCGGTTCCTCTCGCCCATCCAGTCCTTTTTGCGAGAAGGAGTGATTCACATGTCCCTCGTGGATACATGGTTCAGCTTCACGATGAAGAATTTAAGTTCAGGAGCAATGTGGCCGAGTTATCTCGTACGAAGATGT